CTTATTAACAGTGACTTGCTGCCACCTGCTGGCGGTTTTAATTTCACATTTAAAGTTTCAAATATTTCAAATATCAGTATTCAACGTTTAGAATTGAAATATCAAAACATTATTTATGCATTTGTAACTGCAGGTTAAATGCATTCAAGTCATGCATTAAACAATGTTTAAATACATCTTAATGCCTCTTCAGATGCAGCTTCTGTGTTTCCTCTGCATTGCAAAGATGAATTTTGTTGATGATGATTTTATTTGTTTGGTAACAGCCCCAAATGTCTTATTATTCTAATTGACTTTATTGATTAAAGACTTTGACACAAAAGGTAATGCACACTTCTAGAAAAAAATGTCTTTATAAAGCTAAAGGTGCCCATAAGGATAAAAATCACTTTAAACTTGTTGGAAAAGATTAATTTCTGTCACTGCTGTGAACTGACCACGCAGAATATGAAGAATATCCAGGGGGTCCTGCCCCCCACTCCCGGATTTCCGCCTATGCTTATACTCACTTCTTCTGGAGGTGAGGCTGGATCAGAATGATTTGCGCGAAGATAGACACATTTAGGTAGATCGGGCGCATTCCCTTCAAAAACAAAAGTAATCCACTGCGAAAAGGAAAACACTGCTAAAGAATGATTGGCATTTCACATCTTTGAGGTTGGACACACCGCAGTACTGCGACCACAAAATTTTGGTTAAAACTGAAATATATTTATTTTAATATACCATATACAAACATATTCTTGGACTTGCATATCTTAGAATTCATAATCACATTTAATTTTTTTATTATTTGCACAAACATTTTAATTGCATATGCAAAGGAATGCAACCACAAACTCACAGCTGACTCATTTGTTTTTTTCTTCCAAGGTGGCATTGTCTTTGAAATGTTTTTTATTTCTGTTCTTACTGATAAGGTTTACATATGACACACTAAAAAGAAAAGAAAATGAACCAGTTGAGCTAGATGAGCAAATTAATTGCCATACAGCCAGTAAGTGATGCTGAACTTCCTTTAAATCCGCAGCTCATCTTTGTGGAATTTGGACTGGGCCGCTTATGTCAATCATTACATGAGGGTAAATATAAAACATGTTCAGATCTTAAATTAAATTTCCGTTTCTCTATTAACAAAACCAATTGTTAAGATTAAAAAGGAGCATTGTGCTTTTAAAAATCTATATGTAAAACATGGTTTGGAAGCAGTGGCAGAGTTTGGTTCGGTGTAAGTATCTCAAATCAGACAAAAGCAATATTAAAGAGGAAATCCATGGAAAATGACCTGAAATTGTTAGTTACATTTCTGTACAATATCACTATTTATACTCTGAAATATTTGTCAAATATTTTTGAATAACGACAGCTAAGTATAATGCTTGTTTAACTGTATAGTTAACCAAAAAATGAATAGTTTGCACATTTTTAATCGTTTTTCTTACGAAGCAAGTGAGACATATTGTTACTTAACCAGTAATTTAGTGCACGGTTATTATAGTTAACTAAAATTAAAACCATAAAAATTTTGTTACATGAAATAAAATTATATATATATATATATATATATATATATATATACAGGTGTATCTCAATAAATTAGAATGTCGTGGAAAAGCAGAAAAAATCATTCATGCACACGCGCCCACACACACACACACACACACACGCACACTACCACACTACTACTAACTAAAATTAAAACCATAAAAATTTTGTTGCATGAAATAAAATAAGCATGAACTGAAATAAAATTATATATATGTGTGTGTGTGTGTGTATATATACACACACTACCAGTGAAAAGTTTTTGAACAGTGAGATTTTTAATGTTTTTAAAGAAGTCTCTTCTGCTCACCAAGCCTGCATTTATTTGATCTAAAGTACACCAAAAACAGTACAATTTTTTAAAAATATTTTTGCTATTTAAAATAACTGTTTTCTATTTGAAAATATTTTAAAATGTAATTTTTACTATTCATCAAAGAAACCTGAAAAATTCTACTCAGTTGTTTTCAACATAATGATAAAAAAGTTTCTTGAACAGCAAATCAGCATATTACAATGATTTATTTGTTTATACTTTATTTATGCTATTTTATTTTAGCTAGTTGCCAAGAAACATTTCTTATTTTCATTTAGTGTAACTACAGTTTGCCCTAAAATAACTAAACATTGAAATAAAATGAAAAACTACACTGTAAAAATTTTTCAGAAGTTTTAAATAAAATATGACGACTGACGTACATTTTACAAGATCATATAATACCAGTCTTTCTACTTCAAAATTTCATACTTAACCTCTTAAGACCCGGCAAAACATTTTAGGAAAAAAATTGTATTTTTTTCATGTCATTACATTGTTTAGAGCATTAAAAAAAATGTACAATTATATTTCATTCATAAGTTATGCTACGTCCTTGGTAGAGGACATTGAGACTCAAGAATATCCAGGGGGTCCATCGCATCCGATGACCACTTTAATAATAAATGACACAAAAAAAGTATTTTAGAATTGTTATATTTAAATAATTTTGCAGCTACCATTAGAATCTATTTAATTCATTTTAAGACTTATGTTTCCCTTCTACTTTCACTAGCAGATCATTATAATGCCTGTGTATTTTTGCATATTGCAGTCAGTCATTTTATGCATATGACTTTATCTGACATTTAAAATTGTGTTCTCTAATCTGCTGAGATAAAGTGGATCTGTAGGGAAAAAAGTGATGGAAACTCAATGCACTTTAAGGACATGTAATTTTTCGGAAATCTTACTTATAAGAATATTCATGTACTTCCTGCCCTGCAGCATTTTCTCCCACATCATTATACCATCAGGAAGTTTTGCTTTCCCATAAGTCATCTGATGTAGGTGACATGAATGCAAGATCATTTTTGAGATGACTTATTATTATTAGAGCATTTCAGCACTAAGCTTATAAACAGGTTAGCTGCTAAGAATAATTAATGTTGGCCTAACTACATTAGGCCTAGTTTTGATTTTTCTTTTATAAACTTCTACATAAAAAAACAGTCATGATGACTAATTGGAAATGCTTCAGTATTTTTGAGATAGTGAGTGATGATCATTGATCATTATCATGTAGATTAACTTGACTGAGTTTAGATGCATTTTACACATTATCGTTATTCAAAATAAATGTATTTTATTAAAATGTGCCTTTTCCTAAATTAATTTGACCTACATTAAATACTATTGTTTTTGTAATCTGAAAGATTACAGTTGCAATTGATTTATTTTATTTTAGTGTAATTTACGTACTATTATAGTTTTTATTAATATTTTGGAATAGATTTTATATTTTTTGTTTTCATTTTAATTTTAGCTAGAGTTTTAATAATTTCATTTTTCATTTAAGCCTATAGTTGTGCCTAAATATGTATATAGTTTTAATAATTTTTTATTTTATTATTTATTTTATTTGATAATATATATATATATATATATAATTTCAGTTCAAATAACAAAAAATGTTCCATAAAAGCATCAGGCAGAGAGTGTGAGAATATAACAGGGCTGAATTTATTAAGATGATGTACTTTCATATAGGCTAGCGAGTCCCATAAAATATAATCTTTTAATGTTATGCAAGAATATTAAAATCATCTGGCATGTGATTTATATTAAGAGGGGAAAGTGTGTGAGTGAAAAAAACGCTTTAACCTCATTCTGAATATTTTAGTTTTATATGTGAGCTGCTTCTCTACTGAAACCAATACTTTATTTCTTATAATGACTAAAGTGAAGCAGTACATAGAATAATGCTTGAATAAACACTTTCTGCACAGAAAATTGACCAAGGAGGGTATTTTTGCAAATGACCACACACCAACACAATAAATACTTAAATGTACATTTTATTTTAAAACCAAAATTCATTAATAAATGTTTGTTCTTCCAACAGCCCTGGAATGGCGTCTCATTCTCAGTAAGACTAAGTGAAGGTTCATGTTTTCTATAATTACACCCCAATAAGCATGTTATGTTCAGTGAGGAATGTTGTGTGAAAGTGAAGAAGGAAATAAGTGGCAAAAAAGATGATGAAAGAATTGGGATAATACCAGCCACACCAAAGGTTATTGTTGTGCGTTTATACCATTTACTTCAAAAACTGTTCATCTACTGCTCATGTATGGGAAACTGGAAAGACGTTAACCACAATTTATAGTCTGAAAGGATGTAGTTCTTTGTGCGTCTACTCAAACCGGCCACTAAAGTATCTCAGAAAGTGGACAGTAGATGCATGCGGTCAATAGGTCTTGTTCTTCTGGCATTATATACCAGTATTCCCACCAACACTGCAATGGAGACAACAAAGAGTCCTGCAAAGACCCCGGTGCTTGTGCTCATGTGTAGAAATCCACCGTCATTTGAAGCTACATGAATGAAAGAGCAACAGTTACATCAAAGATCATGACATAGAAATCATGGTAACACTTCACAATAAGGTTCCATTCATGAACATTAGTTAAAGGAATAGTTCACCCAAAAAACAAAATTTAGCTAAAAATTTACTCATCCTCAGGCCATCCACAATGTAGATGAGTTTGTTTCTTCATCAGAACAGATTTGTACAAATGTAGCATTAGATCACTTGCTCACCAATGGATCCTCTGCAGTGAATGGGTGCCGTCAGAATGAGAGTCCAAACAGCTGATAAAAACATCACAACAATCCACACCACTCCAGTCCACCAATTAACATCTTGAGAAGTAAAAAGCTGCATGTTAGTAAGAAACAAATCCATCATTACAATGTTTTAGCTTCAAACGGTTGTTTCTGGCTAAAAGTCCTTTATCTATAATATTTATTTCAAGTCGACTCATCCAAATCAGGAGAGAAATATAAACAGATCAAGCACTGTGTATAAGCGGAAACTGTCCAAAACAGCGCTAAACAAATATGTTGTTGGATTTTGATGTGAGAGGACGACCAAGGACTTTATTATGGATTATGGACTTGTATTTTGGCCAGAAGCAACAGTTTGAAGTTAAAGGGGTCATATGATGCAATTTCATTTTTTCCTTTCTCTTTGGAGTGTTACAAGCTCTTGGTGCATAAAGAAGATCTGTAAAGTTGCAAAGACTAAAGTCTCAAATCCAAAGAGATATTCTTTATAAAAGTTAAGAGAGTGGATTACTTGTGGATTATTGTGATGTTTTTATCAGCTGTTTGGACTCTCATTCTGACGGCACCCATTCACTGCAGATCCATTTGTGATGTAATGCTAAATTTCTCCAAATCTGTTCCTATGAAGAAACAACTCACATCTTAGATGGCCTGAGCGTGATTACATTTTCAGCAAATTTTTGGGTGGACTATTCCTTTAACAAACATTAACAGAGATGATTGTTAGTTAATATTAGTTAATGCATGAACTAATGTTAATAATGAAATCAAAGTGTTACCAAAATCACATCACAGTCACTGTTTAAAGGAATACTTCTGCCAAAAATGAGAATAAATTGATCATACTTTCAATTAACTATTCTGTTAAACCATATTCATATACCAGCATTATGAGTCTGTCTCGCCACTCGCAAGGGACCCTGGGTTATGTAGTGCCTGGCAGTTTCTTGGCTCACATCTCGCCTACGTCTGCGTGCGGCTTGGCCTAGGCAGCCTTGGGCACATCTGGAGTTTAAGCTGTCTTTTGCACACAGGATCACGGAGCAGCTGATGTACACCTGTCAGCATGATTTTAGAGTATTATAGTGAAATGTTCCTGCTAAACACAAACACAATTGTTATGCAAATGTGTTGTACCTCATCGAAGCCTCCTGTGAACTTGAAGGCTTGGAGCTGAAAGTCATACTTTGTGGAGGCACTTGGGTAAACCATGGTTGTATCATCCATAACACATCTGAAATAACACAATCGAGGAACTGAATTACATTATTATTGCCTATATCAGGAAATTTGGTATTGTGCATTATTGTTTTCAAAGTAAAAAGAAAATGCAACACAATACACTCGTTGTGCCTTGATGAACTGCGAATAGTCTATGTACATACTGAATAGTATTTGCTCAAAAATACAGTAAAAGCAGTAATATTGTGAAATATTTTTACAATTTAAAATAACCGTTTTCTATTTGAAAATATTTTAAAACATAATTTATTTCTGTGATGCAAAGCTGAATTTTCAGCATCATCATTACTCCAGTCTTCAGTGTCACATGATCCTTCAGAAATCATTCTAATATACTGATTTACTGCAAAAAAAAAAACATTTATTATTATCAATGTTGAAAACAGTTGTGATGCTTCATCTTTTTGTAGAAAAATCGTATTTTTTTCAAGATTTTTTTTGATGAATAGACAGTTCAAAAAACAGCATTTATTTGAAATAGAAATAATTTGTAATGTTCTGAATGTCTCTAGTGACACTTTTGAGCAATTTAATGCACCCTTGCTGAATAAAAGTATTAATGACACTATCTCTCAGCAGATTAAGTTTTTAGCGGATTAAATGCTATGAGTAACTTGAATTTATTATTAAATGACAAATTGTTTTCTTTCACTAATACGGTGTAAATAAGTGTGTTTAGCACTGAAAAAGGCATCAGGTGCACAAATACAAACATCGATCTTTAGCTTCACACTTGTTTTTCGCATTACTAAACCACACCTGCAGCCACAGTAATGATAAATGGTTCTGAGAAAAGCTATTGTGAGGTTCAACAAAGCCTTGAAGGCCGACCGTGTATTTAAAGGAGACCACCTACTTTGTACAAGGGCTTGAACCTGAAACCTTTTCGTTAGTAGCCCAAAAGCTTAATCTAGCAAACGTTTAATTTTGCAAAGTTCCTGCAGTTTTTTAAGCATTACCAGGGATAAGCTTGGAATACAATGAATAGACTTCTGGGACTAATTATAGGCCTACTTACTCTATCATTAGTGCATGCTATTGCTCATACGTATGGCTGGAGGACCATAAAATGGGCAACATCCTATTCTTTTCTTCTAAAAATGTCCAAATCTGGTTCATGATAAAGTCTCACCCATCTTTGATGATGTCATAAAAGACAGCACTGAATGGATTGTCTTCAGGAGTGGCTCTGCAGGACTCAACGAAGAGAGTGACCTCTGGTAGAGCAGTATGAGCTTCAATGCCCATGTAGATCTGGTCCATCAGCTGAACCTGCACTGGATACAGGCTGGGATCTACCTGACTGTTGAAGCTGCTGTCGGTGAAAACTTCAAACGAGTAACCAAACGTGCCAAAGCTGGATTCAGTGAAGATGTAGTCAGATTTATGGTTGACGTAGCGGTTGGAGACACTGGCCATTTTGGGATACTGGCAGGAGAAGCCGAATTTGACTTGATTGCGCCTGGTGATAACAGCATTCGGGTTCTCGAAGGAGTTGATCTCGTTTTTGAAGACGATGAAATCTCCAGAGTCCTGGTTGGTGTTGAAAACAAAGACAAAAGAGAGAAAAATAAAGAGAATGTAAGGGGCTTCAATGCAACACTCAAATATTTAACATATTAGTTGGCATACATCAATGGTAGTGCCACAGGTGTTGAGGGACATCGTGCCCAGGATGTGGGTGTCATTGGAGGTAAGGGAACAGGTGGGGTCTCGCAGTTGGAGCCAGTTCTGGTCAATGCCATCCATGGTGTTCTTACCGTAAATTTTATGGAATTTTTTTTACGGTGTATGTCAGTAGGTGTCGGTAAGTGAAAATATTTGTGTTTCATGAGCGAGTTATTGAATCCTTTAGTCAACCGATTCATTAAAAACAGTTTAGAGTTGTTGAGATGTTGACGACCAGTAATTTTGAATTTTATTAGGCTACATATGCGTGTCAAAAAATACATTAAAGCACTCTAGAAAGAACGTTAAAGTACTGTTTTCTACACAAATTATAACAAAGCAGCCTAAATAAATTATGACTTTAACGTTATCACAACATGTGAACCTTCGAACATTCAGAAGTCACGTGCTTCAAAAGGAAGAAACTTGAGTGAATGAAATGAATCATTGGGTGCGAACGCACAAATGATTCATTCACTTCGAAAAACATTCGTTCGCGAACAATTTTTCGCATCTGTATTCAAATATTTACATAAAAAGTTCCTGCTATTGTATTTACCTGAAAGAACCCTTGATTTTGCCACAGCCACAATGATGCACCTCATTTCTGACTGACTGATAAAGAAAAGACAGACAAGAACTCATTTAGTCAACCGATTCATTAAAAACAGTTTAGAGTTGTTGAGATGTTGACGACCAGTAATTTTGAATTTTATTAGGCTACATATGCGTGTCAGAAAATACATTAAAGTAAAGCACTCTAGAAAGAACGTTAAAGCACTGTTTTCTCCACAAATTATAACAAAGCAGCCTAAATAAATTATGACTTTAACGTCATCACAACACGTGAACCTTCAAACATTCAGAAGTCACGTGCTTCAAAAGGAAGAAACTTGAGTGAATGAAATCAAATGCGAATGCGCGAATGATTCATTCACTTCGAAAAACATTCGTTCGCGAACAATTTTTCGCATCTGTATTCAAATATTTACATAAAAAGTTCCTGCTATTGTATTTACCTGAAAGAACCCTTGATTTTGCCACAGCCACAATGATGCACCTCATTTCTGACTGACTGATAAAGAAAAGACAGACAAGAACTCATAAGAAACTATGCAGAGGACATAAATAATCAGTGATCAATTTAAATACAGACCCCATTTTACCTGTGAAGTGTGTCTGCTGCGAAACACACTGGTACACGACGGTACAGATCCATCTCCTGTGGAGTCCAGGTCAGTGTTGCCACCAAAACCCCATTACTCTCACTTGTCAGAGTCTTAGACATATTAGAGGGGCCACTGACCTGGAAGTCAGAGATGCTACACAGACAGGAGCAAAAGAAAGATCAGATAACATTACTGTAACTCAGTCGGCAGACACATGAAAAACCTGATTCGGCATACATTGACATTTGAGCATGTCAAGGTTGGATCTACTGATAAAAAAGGAATTCAGTTCAATTCATCTGCTCATCAAAATCACGCCACTTAGAAATGAAATGAAAAGATTGATTACAAATCTATGACTGCCACCAAAAGCAAAACGCAATCAAATCTGGAGGTTGCAGTAATGAAAAGTTGGCTTAATACATTGACATTTGAGCATGTCAAGGTTGGATCTACTGATAAAAAAGGAATTTAGTTCAATTCATCTGCTCATCAAAATCACGCCACTTAGAAATGAAATGAAAAGATTGATTACAAATCTGACTGCCACCAAAAGCAAAATGCAATCAAATCTGGAGGTTGCAGTAATGAAAAGTTGGCTTATTAAATATATAAGAGAAATATTGTGATTCTTTGTGTGATGAACACAAAACATTATTCAGACCTGCTGTCCGAGATCTGTGCTCGGAGGGTGATCTCATGCGCCTCTCCCACAGCGGCATGATGCACATCTCCATGTAAAGGAGTTGGTGTCAAGAAACTTGGTTTGTTCACGCCTGGTACACAACCCTGAGATGGTGGAAGAACTGCAAGATGGTGTAGATCGTGTTTAAATACACAGAAATGCACAAACACAGTATCAGTGCTACACAATTCACAACAGACCTAAAATAAAAGCGTCGCATCCACTCATAAAACTAAAGGCACCATGAAGCACCTTTAACATCCACAAAAGCTTTTCAGTGCACAAAAGGGTTTTTATATTAGAAAAAAAGCTCTTTAGATTGTTTGTTCTTCACAAGAAAAAATGGTTCTTTTAAGAAATGTTTATTGAAATCTGTGGCACTACTTTGAATATACTACACTGAATATTTATTGTAAGCGGAGCATATATGTTCACTTCTACTTTCAATTACATGTTCTGATATAATTCACCACGAACCTGTTCATCCACAATTTTTCTTTTGACATGTCTTGCATTGTTTTGCATTGGCTTTTGCTAATGACATGCATTCTCTCAAATGACAGAAACCGGTTGTTCAGGTCAATTAAAAACAAATGAATGTTTTTGTTGTCGAGGAGGTGATCGATGTCTCGAATATTGGTAGAATTATACTGTAGCTCTACACAGTATGTCAAGTTTATATTCTTTCCCATGCACTTTTGACTTCCATTTTATTTTCTTTGGATAAAAAAAAAACCTCATTCATCAAAAGATTAAACATTTTACACCTTCTATCAATAAATAAATAAACAAAAATTAATTCTGCACAGACTTGAGCAATATATTTCCATGACTTTTCCAGTCAGTTGGGATTACTGCATAATGATTTCTTACGCTGTAAAATGATTTTTCAAAGCTGGAAATAAAACTATGATTATTTCAGTACATTTTACAAGAAAATTCTATTTTAGTTTTTCTACTTAAAACTTTCACATTTGAATCAATGTAACTTGCCATTTCTTTGTAATTGTTTGTCAAATATACTAGCCATTTCTAAATGAAATTTGTTTCTACACCACATTTTTACTGTACTTTGACAAATTAATACTTCTGATATTCTTTCAATTCATTTGAGACTTTGTATGTTAAAAAAAATAAAGATATTGCTCTTAATGTTTTTCACTTTTCTACTTAATTTGAATCCATATTTGTGATTTCTTCAAATTTCTTCTCAAAAGCTATATACAAGCTTCCTAACTTATTTTATTGCATGAGGGAGAGTCTTTGTTTGACCAGTAACAGATAATGTGATTCTCACTCACTTTCAACTGCAAACTGCAGAGGCACTTGACTGAGGGCGGTTGGGTTACTGCTGTCACTGACTGCATTATTGACTGAGGAGACCCTGCTATCGTCAGTCACAGTTATGTTTGAAACGGCATAATCCTCCAGCATGAGCTCAAACACATGCACACCTACGTCCAGAGCATTTTTTCTGTGCAAAGTGCACAATTCCTACAAAAAAAGAATAAACCATGCACATTTTAATGCACCAAAACATAAATTAAAAGGTCAAAATGTGAAAAGGGTCAAGGAACATAATTTTCCTGAACATTTGATCATTTTTTAAAACTAATTTAAGCATTTGCCCTTGTAATTTGAAGTTGAAAAGTTTGGCATTAGAAAACATTACCTCTTGAAGATGAATGTTTGGATGTTCATGGCAAATTGTGCAGTTGGCGTCATTAAACCTGCATCTCACAACATCGTCATCTGGATCATGTGCCAGCAAATGAATGCTCTGGAAGCAGTTCTGAGGAATCCTGCGTATTATTAAGATGATGGAGCAAGATTATTTATTTACGGAAGTGAATGTGTCTGTTAATGAAAATGCAAATGTATAAACACATTTTCATGATGTCATTTTAAAAAGCGCACACCTTATGTTTGGAATTGCTGCTGAAACAGGGGATCTGTTTGGAGACTGAGTGTCAGATCGTCGACCAGCGTCAACATGAGTGCGAAGCGTCCATCCACCGACACCATGAACATTATCCTCCCAGCAGCAACCAGAGGAACTGATAGAGATATTTAATAAAATGCATGTGCATTTATTTTTATGTGTTTAAATACATGAGAACATATAATTCACTTTATGCATTAACTACAGAACTTATCCTTTAACATATACACATTTTTCAGATCATTAGTATGTGCATTTTGGGATTATATTTATTTATTTGTATCTATTATGTGTATTTTGTGATTACAATGTAAGACTATCAATAACTTAAGGCAGAGCATAACAGTTATGTTATATAAAAACAGCATCAGAATTACCTCAGAATGAATGGACCATTACTAGTGACATTGGTGGCCATGTGAACCTCTGATTGGCACCACAGATTTTCAGCTGCACTGTCTGTCACCATAGGTTCGGTGTTAGTGAGGATACCACACGATCCACTCTCACAGATCCAGTCAACCTGAGAACCACAGGGACCCCTACTGGATTCTCTGTAGTAAAAGTGCATCTGCCAAAAACACATAGAGGAGACCGGGGCTAGTTGTCACATGATTTACATAAATTACATGACATGTTTTATATGATTTTTTTTTTTATAAGGAAAGGTTTATTTTTGTTACGTTTTGGACTTAAATAAATAATAATTAAAAAAAACTTAAATGAAAATTAGAAATGTTGTCTTGGCATCTAATTGAAATCTAAAACTGAAAATAAATTAAAGCCCTATAGAAATGTATAAAAATGATGAATGCACATTTAACAAAATTACTATTAAAATTGAAAATGTGAAAACTGTAAATATAAAAAATCAACACAAATGTAAAATATTAATAAACTCTATAATATTATAAATACATAATATAATAATTAATACAAATAAAATAATATTGCTTTGCACCACAGCAAGCTGAGAAACTTCAGGAAATTAACTATTCATGATCTAAGTTTAGATTGCTTAATTTTACGTACTCTGTATGACAGTAATACACAGAAATAGTAAAAGTAAAACAAATAATACAAATAAACAAATTAAAGTGAGACTCATTAAGTTGTAAAATTTCTAAACTGGATTTACCTCCACTGACCCATCTGGAAATCTGTTTCCAGGCGTGAACGTCATGGAACCCCCATAGAAACCTACGGCTGGTTCCAGAGCGAGAGCCAAGCTCAGCAGCAGCAGCTTCGGGCCGTGTGCCATTGTGTCTGTCGGAATCGTACGGTG